CAATGGGGGGAAAAAAAGGAGACATATGTACTACTATTTGTAATACTTTAAACAATAAAATAAAATTTAAAAAAAAGAAATTAAATCTAACAAAATTTAACAAAACAGAATGCTCATTAAGGCATTATTTGTTATTGCAACAATATTTATTCACAGTAAGTGAATGATGTAGCAAATAATAGCATCTACATAATGATATAACTACATAGAATGTTATGCTTCTATGAGAAATGTTGGGAATAATTTTTCATAACAGAGGAAAATGTCCATCTATAGTTAGTGAAAAAAATCAGGACAAAACACTAAAAATACCTCATCCCAATTTGTTAAAAATTGTGGTGCTCAGGGTGAAATTTCTTTTTTCTAATCCTCACCTGAGGATATTTTTTCCATTGCTTTTAGATAGAATTGACGGAGAGGGGAGAGGGGGAGAGAGAGAAACATCGATGTGAGAGAGGCACATCGATTGGTTGCCTCTCGAATACTCCCCTACAGGCTGGATATAGAACCTGCAACCCTATATGTGCTCTTGATTGGGAACTGAAACTGAGACCTTTGCCTGCCTAGCATGGTTCAGTGGTTGAGCATTGAACTATGAACCATGAGGTCATAGTTTGATACCTGGTCAGGGCACATGCTCGAGTTGTGGGCTGTATCCCCAGTGGGGGTGTACAGGAGGCAGCTGATCAATGATTCTCTCTCATCATTGATGTTTCTATTTCTTTCTCTTCTCCCTTCCTTTCTGAAATCAATAAAAACTTATTTAAAAAAACAACAAAAAAACACACACACACACGACCCTTTGGTGCACAGGCTGACGCTCTAAGCACTGAGCCAAACCAGTTAGGGAGGGTGAAATTTTTTAAGGTTTCTGTTTTCCACATCTTCTGTGATAAGGGTTCTTTATCTGCCCTCCACAGAGGGAATCCATCTTCTACCCTTGGGCCTATGACTCAAATGAAGAAAAAAACTACTCTTGAAAATATGAAAATTGCTATGATACCTACCAATTTTCTTCTGATTATAGAAAATGTTTATAAAATTTTAACAAAGCAGGTAAATGCTTATAATGTCCCTAAAAAATATTTATTAAGTAATTATGCTGGACTCTCTAATAAGTGCTTTCTAGGCATATTCTCACTCTCTGTGTTTACAGATGATAAACTGAGATTCAGAGAAGTTAAGTGATATTATCACACAGCCAGGCAGGGGGATTAAAACTCATGTGAGTCCTAAACACTCCACTTTACTGCCCCCTCATGTAGAAAACCATGATGTAAAGGGGCATGTGGTTTTATCCCAGCTACATAAAAAGTTCATGTAAAAAATAAAAATTTTAAAAAATATATTGAAAATTAGTAAAAACTATGTTAATGGAGGCTAACTTTGGGTAGTAAAAATGAGTTTCTAATCTAGTTTTTTCATAAATATAGGTTATATTTACCTTTAGCCTATTTTCTCTAGCTTTAGAGTACACAAAATTATAAATTTACATTTTTTTGTTTTCATTGCTATTAAATAAATTTAAAAATATAGAATAGTTTTTGACTTATAGAAAAGTTGTGAAAATAGTAGAGTCCACATATACTCTATATTCAGTTTCCTCTTTCATTAACTTGTCACATTAGTATGCTACATTTATCAAAATATTGATACATTATTAATTAAAGTCCATATTTTATTCAGATTTGTTTCATTTTTAATTTTTTATTCATTGATTTATTATTTTTCTCAGCCTAATTATACTTTTTATTTATTTTTCTTTTTTTTCTGTTCATCAGATTATTTATTCACTTGATTTTTAGATTTACTTGTTGATAGATGTGTATTTGTTGTTCATAGTTTGTATCTTTACCATTTTCTTCTTCTTCCTCTTCTTAAAGGATACCTTTCAGTATTTCATATAATACTGGTTTAGTGGTGATGAACCCCTTTAGCTTTTTCTTATCTGTGAAGCTCTTTATCTGACCTTCAATTCTGAATGATAGCTTTGCTGGATAAAGTAATCTTGGTTGTAGGTTCTTGCTATTCATCACTTTGAATATTTCTTGCCACTC